ACTTTGAAAAAGATGAGATCCCAATTGTAGATTCTTTCTGCTAGTTCCCATGCTGCTGAGGATTTGTTCATAAAGTCTTTTCCTATGCCAATGTCTTTAAGAGTTCTACCTATCTTCCAGCAAGTTTAGTGTTTGTTTTAATATTTACATCTTTAATAATCCACTTTTATTTTAGTTTAGTGCATGGTGAAACATATGGGTCTAGTATTAATCTCTGACAAGTTGAAATCCAGTTTTTTCAACACCATTTATTAAAGAGGCTTTTATCCAATGAGGGTGTTTGGCTCCTTTGTCAAAGATGAGATAGCTGAGTGTGTCAGGAGATATTTCTGCACATTCTAATCTGTTCCACTGATCCTCAGGTCTGTTTCTTTGCCAGTACCATGCTATTTTTATCACAGTGGCTTTGTAATATAGTTTCAAATTGGGAATTGTGATACCCCCTGCCATGTCTGTGTTGTATAGAACAGCTTTTGCTATTCTATGTCTGTTCTTTTTTGGGTTTTTTTTTAGACAGGATTTCACTATGTAGTTGAGACTGACCTGGAACTCACCATATAGCCCAGGCTGGTCTCCAACTCACAGTGATCCTCCTGCCTCAGCCTCCCAAGTACAGGGATTACAGGTGTGTGCCACCACACCCAGCTTATTCTACGTCTCTTCTGATTCCAAATGAATTCTTGGATTATTTTCTCTAGTTCTATGAAATATACTGTTGGGATTTTAAGAGGAATTGTATTGCATCTGTATAGCAGTTTTGGAAGTATGGCCATTTTCATTATGTTGATTCTTCCTACCCAGGAATAAGGGATGTCTTTCCATTTTCTTATTTCCTCTTCAATCTCTTTTTTCACAGTGCTATAGTTTTCAGTGTAGAGGTCTTTTGTTTCCTTTGTTAAATTCCTAGATATTTCATTTTTTGGATGCTATTGTGAAAGGGATTGTTTCCCTAATTTCACTCTCAGTGAGTCTGTTATTTGTGTACAAGAAGGCTATTGATTTTTGAGTATTTACCTTGTATTCAGCTGCTCTACTGAATCTGTCAATCAAGTCTAGAAGTCTTTTGGCAGAGTTCTTTGTGTCTTCTGTGTAGAGTATCATATCATCATCAAATAATGACAGTTTCACTTCTTCCTTTCCTATCTTTATTGATTTTATTTCTTTCTCTTGTCTAATTGCCGTGGCTAATGTTTCCAAAAGTATATTAAACAGGAGTGGTGATAATGCACATCCTTGTCTTGTTCCTGATTTTAGTGTGAAGGTTTTCAGTTTTTGGCCATTTAGTTTGATGTTGCCTGTTGGTTTATCATACATGACTTTTATGAGATTGAGGTAAAGACCATCTATACCACCAATTTTCTGTTGGGGGAAAACCCACAGTATAAGTAAAGAGCAAAGTAAAAGAGAAGATAATAGGAAGTAGAGAAATAGTCTTTCTCGAATAGGAAGGTGATTAAGAGTGGACAGAGAGGAGCAGGAGAAGGAAAGGGGCGGAAAAGAGGAATTAAGATGTGTTATGTACATATACCAATTCCGTACAAAGAATGTAAATATTATCTACTATAAACGTGTACTAATAAAAAATTAACAATATAAAAAAAGACAACAGCAACAATAAAAGAATGTACCCTAACCTACTCTATCCTACCCTAACCCTTCCGATACCATATTCATCACGGCTGCTCGTAAAGGATCCTGGGGATACTTGTGTGGCTTCATGTCTACTCCTGCTCCCTTAAGTGTTTGGACAGTTGGCCTCTCAAGAGCAAGGACTCTGGATGCAGCTTGTCCTAATGACACTGGTCTTTATTCTGACATTTCCTTCTGCCTGCACAATCTTTCTGAGTACTTGGGGAAGTAAACAGTAGGACCTGAAGTCAAGGAATAGCAAGAAGCCAGATCTGCTGCAGACTGTTTTTGTGAACTGAGTAAAACTGCATTGATTAATTTGAGAATTGTCATTTTATGACACTCGGTTTTCATGTTCTTAAAATGACCTCTCTGAAAAGTGCATACATATGCACTTATTGGTCGTTTTTTTAATACTCAGCAATTAGGTTATGGACTTGAGGAGCCAAGACAATTAGACTTTGGCACATACAGATTGGATTTTCAAGCACAGAAATTACAGTTGAAAATGAAGAAGGTGGCCCAGGGAGACAGTATGAATTCCTTTCTGCGAATCATTTCTTCCGCTACGATTTTCTCCTTTATATGGGATTTGTGCAATCTATCTTTCGGGTGCTACCAGCTATACATTACTTCAGTAATCACAATGAAAACCTAGTATATCCCAAAAATAAAATTTAAAAAGGTTAAAGATGCAGGGGATCGGTTTTGACAAGGTTGGTTGGGAGCAACAGTTCACGAACTAGTTTAAGTGGTATAGTTTTAATTAAGAACAAGATTTATGAAAGGGAGACTTCATATGCTGAAACCACTTTCTTTGCTAACACGTGACGTGGGCTGTACAGTGCGGTGTTTGTGGGTGGACAGCGCTGTAGGTCAGCATTGAGCACCTGCAGGAGAAACTGAGGCTCCCAGAGGATGACACCCCACCGTGTCACTGCAAGTGAACTGGAGAGGCAACTGGTTGCTCTCAAAATCATCAGAATTTAAACCATGGACAGCGGCTGCCCAAAGACCTTTCTGAATCTGATCAACAATAACAACGACTAGCTCCCTGAGGACTTTTTTTGGCCCTGGGAATTGAACCCAGCTGCTCCGGACTCAAGGGCGTCTCCATCCACTTTTTCCTTTAGGAAGGGGCTCGCTAACTAGAATTGCCTGGACAGGGCTCGAATTTGTGACCCTCAGCCTTCAGGGTGAGGGGATGACAAGAACGTGCCGCCACCCTCGGCCTAGACGCTCAAGTTCACCCGCTGACCCCTACAAAGCTGAGTAGCGACCAATAAACCCTCCCAGAAACCACAGCCAACACAGGAACTCTCGCGAGATTGTGCGAACCAGCGGGAGCGCGAGGAGAGAGGCGCAAACTCTCGCGAGCTCGGCCGCGGGTTCCGAGATCCCGGCGCGAATCCCAGGCATGGCGTGGTCTGGGCGGCAGGTGGGCCGGCCCGAGAGCCAGCGGGAGAAATA